GGCTATACAAGTAGTTGTGATGATTTTGGGTGCATTAGTAAGGTAGGGTTTTGTATTGTTCAGCCCTATTTTTTATTGTGTGGATGGTATATGATGTATATAAACTTGTATATGAGGTGGTAGTGATAGTTTTAAGTTAGAAATGTGAATTATACCTTGAATGTAGCAAAATTTCAGAAGTGAAAATCCTTAGTGCCATGTTCTTCCCGATTTTAGTTCACCATGATAGAGGCCGAATTAGATTTAGCACAAAACATGAAAGTTGTAGAGAATGATGTTTTATAGTTGTCTACACAATTTCAGCCCAATCCGAGCACTGTATCTCGTAAAAAGATAAAAATACCCCTGAGACGCCCTAGCTCGAGTCCACTAGATAGTTTTGACATTTCCTCATGTTGGCTGCGTTTTTCACCTTGATCCGTACCAAATCAGTCTTTGGCCAAAACATGAAACTTTTAGCCCTATGTTTCAGATTTCCAAAACAACCGAAAACATCTCAAACAGAATTGTGTAGCCTGAGTTATTGTCATTTGAAGTCAGTACTGACAACTGTCCTGACAAGGACATTTTGGTTTTGTAATCCGGACTTTGACCTAGATACACTATGAACTGGACTGAGTAGTCTTCATCTAAGTTGTAGCACTCTATCTTAACTTCGAAACGGTATAAATTTCACCCTAATCCGATAAGCGTAGTTTCGGTTGTATCCGATACGCTAAGTGACGTCAAATCTGCTTTTGATTTTAGGCCTTAAACTTCATTTTCGGTCAATTTTTCTAACTTGGTTTGGTAATCATATGATATTGAGCCTATTGAACGGCTATTGTAATGCATTTATGTTGTGTGTAATGTTGGGACTAATTGAGGAAAATAATGAAGTCGTAAATGGTTGGAAAATAGGTAAATACAAAGGGCGTGCTGCCCAAATTTACGCTCGAGAACTAGAAAGAGATACTTACGACTTGAGTAAGGCTTGAGAGCGAATACCACTTGAACCATCTAGGATAGATATGTCTTCTGTTATCGAGGTATATAAGTTAGAATTTGGCCAAACTTGTACTCTTGGGAAATGAAATAACAACTACTCCGAAGACGTTTTCCTCGTACTTTCGACTCAAATGGTATTTTCAAACATAATTGTTACAAAGTTTCACAGTTTGAAAAGCGAACGAGTGTTCTACGAAGATTCTCTAAATGAATTTCAATTATTTGGTTCTTATTAAACGAAACGTTTAAGTTTTGACCCTTAGTCGATTTCCAAAATTCTTAAATAATATTTTATCGCAGATTTGAATTCCACACACGGAGTAATACCCGAACGTAACTTGTAAAGGCACCGCATCTTTTGGTGAGTGCTTCCAAATACCTGATTGAACTGGACACTTGTTCACAATACTTGATCAATATAAATAAATGATATGAGATTTGTTGATCGGGCAAGAGTGTACTTTATCGCACTTGCCCTAACATGATATATACTTGTTTATTGTTGCAATTAATTTGATATATTTGTACTTGATTTGTAAGTGTGGAGCGGCAGTATGTACCACACTCAATCCGAGTGAGAGGTGCCTCTTATTCCCGTCTCCATACTTTGATTTTAATTCCGTCGATTGGAGATGTTATCTCATCGACTTCTTGGGGACCCAAACCCCACTGGCTAGTTAATCGAGTCGAGCCGGCAAGGGATTGGTCGATTAGATAACGAACCATGGGTAGTTAGTGATGTCGAGTGCAGTGTTATTTTCTCGACTAATCGGTATACTCGAGTATTACCACCAGTGTTTATTAAGGATTTTGGTCCCAGTAGGGGGTGTGAATGGTGGATGGAGAGTAGTTTAAGTGGTGCTCTACTGGATTGGTTACTTACTTGAAAGTTGACGGAGTGTCAACTATTATTTGATCAATCTCTGATGATGCAATGGGAAGTTGGCTCCTGAGAGCCATCCGTATCCTTATATTTGAAAATGATTATTGCTTATTGGCTTATTGTTTCTTTTGAAAAACAAAAATACTCTATACTCGTTCATTTTGAGATTTACTACTTGAAGTGTTATTGCTCACTTTTATGAATTTTTCATACTCATTACTTTACTACGTGATATTTGCACGTTTAAATAATGGTCAACTTGCTATCTGAAACCTTACTGGGTTTTTAGCTCATTCCACGTCATTTATTTTCCTTACAGGGGGTACGAGCGAGGCGTGAGATGTGTACAGACTAGCGTAGTCTAGTTGTTTTGAATTTTGAATTTGTACTCACGCTAGTACCCGACTAGGGTTGATTGTACTTGAATTGTAAATACTTTGAAGTATTTTGGTGTGTAGAAACTTTGTATCTGGATTTGTGCATCGATGTATATTATAAGTTTGAATTGCGATGTTATTTATTGTATATGGATGTATGCGGGAGATCCGAGTGAGTGAGTTCTGGTGAGAGTTGGACAGACGGTCCGCCGAACCCTTTGGTACACTTTAGGGGGAGGTGGGGCCGTCACATATATAATCCAAGCGACTTGAGTTCAACTAGATAAAAACTCGTCTAAATTCAACTCAACAAATAAGCAAATCAAGTTTAACTACAATTTCAAATTCATTAAAAATAAACAAATAAGTTTGAATACAAGAATGTTGTACTTGATTAATCTTATTTAAAGTTCTAAGGAAATTAATCTTATACTTGAAAAAACTTTCATTTTCGAATGTGTAAGGTTTAAAATTTGGCCAATAAAGTTCTTTGGATTAATCTTATACCAACAATGTTCAAACAAACATCTTTTGCTCCATTCAATCATAAATTTTGAGCTTTATAACTCTACATAATAATGGAGAAGACTTGTCACTAAACAAGTCTTGTTATGAAATTATGGTACCAAAAGTTGATCTCCTGCTATAATTTTTTTTTCTTTAATTTTAGCACATCTTGATAAAAACAACCTTCAAAAAACAAATCAAGATCAGCAGAAGTTACAAAACTACTGAGAGCCCATAATGGCTAATATCACTCAATTCAAGAACTGTCATAAAATATTGAATTCAATGGTGTTAGGGGCTCTTTGTAAGTCTTCAATCTTATTCTTGTGGAACCGTTCTTGAATTTGAATGGTATTAGGCTCTGTATTAGCCTCTTCATAGAAGTTAAGCATGATTGGAAAGGCCCAAAACAGAACCATACATGTTCAATAGGAAACTAACTTTTTGGATTTGCCACTTTAGTTTCATTTTTCAGCGCCTCACCTGCCATTGCCTGTCAATATCAAGGTGCAGATTTTATCAGAAGAGAAGTTCATATTTGAGTGCATAACCTGAATTCCATGTCCATTCAAGCAAATTGACAGTTGATAAATAGGGATACCTGAATCAACAGAGCCACTCAGCTCTGGAATTGGAACAAGAAGAAATGTTTCTTACAAGTTTTGTTTTATCAAACTGGACCTTCGGCTGAGAATTTCCATTTCAAGCATCTGAAAGCAAAAGAAAGATATCGATGATACATAATAGTAGAACGTAAATTCCATTAATACAACTAGTTTAAGAATGCTCACTCAAATGCCAAGTAAATGGTCATGCATGATATTAGATGAAACAAGTGGCAAGTCCGAAATGATTCTGTTAAGGAATCAAATTTAATAAACTACCATTCAGTTTATTTATCAACCAAACATGTTCTATGCACCTCGTTAGCAAGGAAAGTCATAAACTCATAATGAGATGAAAATGGAAATTGAGATTAATAACCTTCTATGAATCTGAGATCAGAAGTTCAAGTTCATAGTTGCCCCAGTCCCGTTGTTTTTTGAGAATCACCTCAGCCAAGCTTTTGACTCTATCGCTGCATCGACACAACTCAATCATCTGCAGGGTTGTAACTCTTTCAAAACAATAGGGGATCTCCACGAATCTATAACAATCTCCCATAAGAAGTTGTTCAAGGCATGGGAAGGGATCATAGGCGACAGACCATTGTCGAAGGTTTAAATTTGACAGTTCCAAGTATTTGAGGTTACAAAATTCCTCCTCTTCCGGTGTCATGTCCCATCTTTTACCCCTAAAAGTTTCTTCTCGTAATTTGAGAACCTCGAGTTTGGGTAGCTGCCTGATTATTGACATTGCCCTCCAAGGTAGTCCCAATTTATACACGGTCAGTTTCTTAAGAGTTGAGGGAAAAGCAAATGTGTGAAATTGATTATGTATCCAACTGCAAGACGCTAGACCTTCATAACCGAGAGTATACAATGTTAGTGCCTGGAGATTTTCTAGGTAGGCCAAAGCTGGAAACTGATTCTCGTTATCACAACACAGCTGTGATAATGAAACAATACATTTGAGCTTCTAAAGTCCACTTAACCTTCTTAACACCTTCTCAGGATCTGCTACATGATGAAGAGCTAATGTGGAAAAGGTTTTCATGTTATTCACTAACATAGATGAATACTCAAGCTCAAGATCATCCAGAGAGATAACAGCATTTTCACTTACATGCACATGTTTCAAATTTCTCATCGTCCAAACTGTTTCTGGTAAACAAATCAAGGGTTGTAATCCTTTCACAGCAATGCTTCTTAGATTCCAAAGATTGGCTATTGATAATGGAATTGCCGTAAAACTACCTTGGATTGCTAAGTATCTTAAATGAACCATTGATATGATTACTTCAGGAAAAGATAAATCCAAGTAGATGCCTTCCAAATTCAAGATGTGAAGGAGTTTAAAGCTATGAAAATACTGAAAGGCAACGGATTTTAAATAGGATTGATTCCTTCTAATTTCAGAAGAGACCAATAGTGAGTAGAGATATTGACCAACAGGCTTTGGCTTACCGAAAGTTTCCCATTTAGAATGAATGCTTAACCGGTAAGGGTAATGCTTTGCTCGACTTGAGAAGCCATGAGAAATATCAGACCAATCAATGTGCAAGAACTTGTCTTCTTGAGCTTTTTCCAGGCAGAAATCGTGTTATAGATCATTAAGTCGGTATGCTTTATCCCACCATCAGAACTTCATTCAGTGACATCTACAAAGCTACGATTGATGAGCTCCATCAAGTAGTCTTTTGCCAAAACTTCTAAGCTCTCCATGCTCCCCATTTCAGTTGTTCGTATGAATCCTTCTGCAACCCATAACAAGGTCAACTTTTGGGCACTAATTGCCTTACCAGCTTGAAAGGCACCAAAATATAGAAAGCAAGGCTTCAAATGGTCAGGTAAATGCTTGTAGCTTCGTTCTAGAATATCCCTGTACCCTTTGCTAGCAATGCCTGGATTTGAGTTTTCTTCAATTCGTCCCCAAAAATCAAGATTCCTCTCTTCCTTTTGAAGGAGAGCCAAAATTGCAACAATCGCCAGAAGTAGTCCTTTACATTTCCTTGCAATTTTCTTTGCAACATCTAATAGATTGTCAGGGCAACCGTGGGTGTGGAATAGCATTTCTTCCAAATATTTCCAGCTTTTTTCATCAGTGAATGGAGAAAGAAGATGAGTATTGTAAGCAAGACCAGTTTGCAAAGCTAGATTATGATTTTGACTTGTTAAGGCAATTCTGCTGCCATTTCGATCTCTTGGAAGTGACTGTCTAATAGAATCCCAAGCTCCCATCTCCTAGATATCATCTATAACAACAAGGTATCTCTGTCGCAATAAACTTTTCCTGATTAGATCTGTTAAATCTTCATCACTCATATCATATAGATCTACATCTTCAACTGAAGTAATGCAGTTGACAATGTCAAGCAACAAGTCCCTACTTCTGTATGTTTCAAAAACAAGACACCATGCAAGTTTATGAAAGTGCAATTGAACCGAAGGATCATTGTATGCTATCCTCGCAAGTGTTGTCTTACCTACTCCAGGCATGCCGACTATGGAGACAATCGAAAGCTCATTTGATCCTCTTTTGAGTAGATTAATAACTGCATCTGCCTCATTATTGAAGCCCAAAACTTCATAAGATCCAAAACTATAAGTTCTTGATGATAATGGGATTCGATTGATGCTTGTCTCAGCGCTAGAAGTAGAACTTCTGTTGCTTGATGTGTGCTCCTCTCTTTTAACCTTTTTTCAACTGTAGTTTTGATAACTTTGATTCCTTTTAGGACGTCAGAAAGACATATCAAATGATACCAAATAGGCCTATCCACAATTGAACACGAGCGAATGACACCTTCTGCTCGGTAGGCCACATCAATAGTCTACGCCTAAAAACCATTTAGCTCCTGACTCTTATGCTCGTTCTGCAAATCCATTATATCCTTATGCATAGGAGAAAGGGAATGAAGTTCCCTATGGATTGCTGCAACTTTATGTTTTGCAACAAGGATAAAATTGGCAGCATTGCTTTTCATCATTTCCTCCAGATTTATCAAAAGGGAATGAACAAATCCCCTTCCATCAGTCTTGGGACAATTAGACGCAGATGACTTTGGCATCCGAACATGATGCTTTTTGGCCTGAATCATTATCTTGAGAATCTTTTCCAGGAACCAAGGAATAAAAGAATTGTCTCTCAGGAAGATGAGATTTGCTAACTTACTGATGGCTGCTTCAATTTTTCTCAAGAACGCCTTTCTCCTGACTGCTTCAATTGGTTTCAAGAACACAGTTCTCCGGGCTGCTCCGCTCTGTGATTCCTTCGATGCATCCATGAGGAATGAAATCAAGAAAATCAGCCCATCACGAACGGCTACAATGTCATCACTCTCGACACAATCCACAAGATTTTCCAAGGGTAGAAATCCAACAAATCTTGCAATGATGTCATCCACTAGAAGGGCATCGCCTCGCGATATCTTTGAAGATTTAAGGAGACCAAGATACATCTGTACATCACTTGGAGTGGACGACATTATCTCTTGTACTCTAGGAGAAAGCATAGCATTCATCCAATGAGCCATGTTTTGATCAGTAGAATCCACCTCCACCCAATACAGAAGTGACAAGTAGGTAGCAGTTTTAGTCCCAGCATGAAACATTGTCAAGAAATCTTCAAGTTCGTCATATGATCTCCCACGTCTTTTTATGGTGAAGTCAAGGAAATCTCTAGTGAACTTTAACTTCTCTGCAAGGGCTTCCATTTGCTTCTTCACATCAGGGACAATGTTCTCGCCGGTGCCAACTGATAACAGTCTCTCCAAATTCACAAGGATGGAATCCGTGAATTCAAGGATCTCCTCATTTGTGTAACTAAGCTTTGATTTTGAGTTCAAAGAGTGATTAACTACAACACCAGAACAAATATTTCTTACCTCTGGCTTGAAGCCCTTAACAATTTGTAGCAAATTAGACACCAAAGTTTGCCAGTCTTCGATATCTAGTCCAAAGCTTGCAAAAAAACCAGCTTGATATAATTCAGAGTTTGCTGCTTCTAGTGTAGCTTGAGCTCTTTTCAGCTCAATAGACTCATCCCTCATGGTTTCTTGATCATCAGCGGCCGTGAAGGTTTCCAAGCAGCAAAAGAACATTTTAACAAATTTTAATTCCAGCAGAAGACTCTTGATTTGATTCTCCATATTAGTAGAAGTCAAGCGGGATAGAGCCAGCAGCTTTGAGAGCTGTTCAATAGCAGAATCAACACAAGTATGAACCACCATTCTTGTTTTTTGTTCTTCTTTCAGCCCCAAAAATTTCAATACAGATAGTTACACTTTTGTTGAGAAATTATGCAGAGACGACTGTGTGGAAATACTACAGATAAGGTGATGGCAAAGTTGTTATGCAATAACGTGCGTCTCAATATACCATATGCCCAATAATTGCTGGGGTTCGCCTTGACTCATGATTTGAAAGGCTTGAAGCTTTTTATCTTGTTTATAGGATAGGAGAGGCTGTGTAAAGAAAGACTTTGACTACGAGAAAAAAGTAATTGCCGACAACTTTGAGAGTTTAAGGCCAAAAATATAGTGCTACTAGTTATTAAAGTTAGGGAAAATGGCCATTTTAGTCCTTAAACTATTGCACTTATGCCAATTTCATCCCTCAATGTTGTTTTAGCCTAATTTAAGCCTTTAACTTAAATTTGGTGTCCAATTAGATCCTTTCATGGTGGTGCAACCAATAAAAATCTCTCCGGCATAACATCACCGCCCAACTATGGGCAATCTAGGAACTACAAAGTCAGGGCGAATGTTAGATACAAGAATAATGGATTTCCATTAAAAGGGGAAAAAACAAAATTTTCACTAACTTGAGGAAGAAAACAGAAATTGTCAAAAAGAACCTGCAAAAATGTCTTCTCCACCAAAGCATTTCCCCACCGAATCATATGTATTCTCTTCTTAACAAAAAATCTTCATCCATTACTGCCATTAATCATCAACAAAAACTTTTCCTTAAGCATCACTGCCTTCTCTTGTTTTACATTTCTTTCTCAAATTCCATCGCCTTCTCACAAAGTTGGCAAAAATCAGAAAATTGATGAAGTTTCAATACATAGAATCCATGGAATTTAATTCTCAAGGCTTCCAAACCCATGGAAGTCTCTAGGGAGATCAGAGATGAGACTTTTCTGTTGTCTCCCCAGAACCATGACCAGTCTCATCATAAAAAACATTGAGAAATTTGTTCAAGTCCTTTATCTACCCTCCAGTAAATAGAGGTTCAAAAACTTCAAATGCCTCTAGCGCAATTTTGAGGGTTGCAGACCAGGAGACCATGGTGGTTCATGCCACTGACATTCTCTCAAGCATTTCATCTAACACTTTTGGGCCCCTTCAACATATGCAATCTTGAATACATATTGAGCAAAAAAAAATGTTCACAAAAATATTCATAAAATGAGCTGCTTTGACGACACGCACACGGGCTTTTTTCCCAACAAAGGAATCCAATGAAATTAACAATGCAGCAACATTGGTAGAGAACTTATGGGAGTTAAAAGAGAAAATTGGGATGTCTCATTTGTAGAAATATTGACAGATTGAGAGAGGAGTCTTAGCTGCTTAGGTAAAATTAGCTACTGATTTGAGAGTTCCAAGAGAACCTCTTTGTTTCAAAAGTTCACTGAAGAAGATTAGTGAGGGAGTTGGCGATGACTCGTTGACCGGTGATAAATGGCGATGGAAAATTTTTATTTTTCCCCAATTTAGTGTAAAATTTGTATTCTACCCCATTTGATAGAAAGTTTTCAGACTTCTTTGTTTTAGCATAGGGCATGACTTGTATTTCCTTTCTTGTCCTTGATTAGGTAGTGACTTTTGTGTTGGAAAAAGTTTAGTGGGCGGCGCCGCTGTAAAAGGATCTAATTAGATAAGAAATTTAAGTTAAAGGATTAAATTAGGCTAAAATAACATTGAGGGATGAAATTGACATAAGTGAAATAGTTTAAGGACTAAAGTGGCGATTTTCCCTTAAAGTTACAAAAGACGGAAACTATGAGAGTTTAAAGCCAAAAAAAATGGGCCCCTCGGGCGCAGGTTGACTGGCTATGGGATAACCTCATCAGGCCCAGGTCATGTGGTCGATTCTGATTCTTCTACCGTCTCGAATCTCTTGAGGGGCGGGGACGGGGCACAGTGAAATTAGTTGAGTCGAAGGCTCGGATACCCACTGTATTGACAAAAAAAAAAAAAAAAGCCAAAAAAATAGTGCTACTAGTTAAAGTTTAAAGATGAGTTCCTGATTAGCTTTAGAGATTATTTCAAAAACCTCAATAAAGGTTTGTAACGGTATCACTTAGCACCTCTGAAGTTTATAATAATCACTTGCCTTCTTTAGTTTTAACCTATTTATTATAACGTTATTATCAACTCACTGTAAAATATATTATTAAAAAACTTATTTGTGGATAGAGAATATATTTTGATTTCTACTATTATCCTTTTCTTGTGAATCATTTTGTTTTTATAGCAAACCTAATTAATTCCTTGGCTTTTAAAAACTTAGCTGATATGGTTTGTTAATTAGGAATTACAAGGTTGAAAAGCCTATTAATAATTTTTTGTGTTTCATTAGTTTGCACAAGAAATATAATAAAATTTTGAAATTCTAGATAATTTAGAAAACTCATAGAAGTTATTCGAAAATTCTACAATAATGCAACTTTGCACCTTGAAAACGCCTCAAATATTTCAGAATATGTAAGCAAGAAACATGAGACTAGAAAATCAAAAGAGTAAAAGGGAAAATAAATTCTCACAATAGATTAATGTTTGATGCTGTTGATAGTACTTTTATAGATAATCTAAAACCTTAATGGATTTGTTTGCAAAGAGATTGTCAATCACTTATCTTGAGGATTTCTTTGATAATTTTGTACAATTATAAGGCAAAAATCGTTTTTTTTTTATTTTATAATCATAACCTATTAATCGTCTTTTATTAGAGAGTATGACTTGACCCACATTTGCAAATATCATAATCCGACCCATGTTACGGCAGGAATTTGAGAATATGCCGAAAGACAATAGTCAGGCGAGCCCAAAAAGGAGCTTTCTTGAAATGATAAACAGTTAAAACTCTCCTAATTTGGTGCACTAATTTGCGCACTTCTCACTGGAATCTTAACAAGAATTCCCCTAAGATACACCAAATCTCAAATGCTTAAAGCTTTTTCTTTTCCTTCGTTAGTTTACCCTCCATCAGTACTAGCTCCAAGGTAATGT